AATAGATGCAGAAAAAGCATTTGATAAAATCCAGCACAAATTTATGATAAAAACTCTTAGCAAAGTGTGTATGGAAGAATCATACTTCTACATAATAAAGGCCATATATGACAAACCCAGAGTCAATATCATATTCAATGGGAAAAAATGAAAACTTTTCCTTTCAGATCAAGAACAAGACACTGATGGCTACTTTCACCACTTTTGTTCAACATAGTACTGGAAATTCTAGCCACAACAATCTGACAAAAAGAAGAAATAAAAGGCACCCAAATTGGAAAAAAAGAAGTAAAACTGTCCTTACTCACAAATGACAGTGTACTGTACATAGGAAACCTTAAAATAGTCCACTAAAATAACTATGAGAACTGAAAAATGTATTGAATTCAGTAATGTAGCAGGATATAAAATTAATATTCATAAATCACTGGCATTTTTATACATCAATAAGGAATAATCAGAAAGAAACTAAAAAAACAACCCCATTTGCTACTGCAACAACAACAAAAGTGTGGTACTTAGGAATAAATTACACCAAGGAGGGAAATGACCAGTACACAAAAAATTATAGGATACTGAAGAATGTAATTTAAGAAGAAACAAATAGGTGAAATCATATATTAAGTGTTAGGATAGGAAAAATTAACACCATTAAAATGTCCATGCTACCCAAAACATTTTATATATTCATCACAATTCTTATTAAAATACCAACGGTATATTTCACAGATCTAGAACAAATATTACAAAAATGTATATGGAATCCCCAAAATCTTGAATACCTAAGCAATCTTGAGAAAGAAGGACAAATTTGGAGGCATCACACTACCTGATATCAAACTATACTACAAGGCCATTATAATAAAACAGCCTGGTACTGGTGTAAGAACAAGCATATCAATCAATGGAACAGAACAGAGAACCCCAAATTAACCCACACTTCTATGGTCAATTAATATTTCACAAAGGAGGCAAGAACATACAGTTGAGTAAAGTCAGCCTCTTTAATAAATGTTGTTGGTAAAATTAGACAGATATAAGTAAAAAAATTGAAACTAAACCACCAACTTACACCACACACAAGAAGAAACTCAAGAAATATAAGACTTAAATGTAAGTTCTAAAACCATAAAAACCCTAGAAGAAAGCACAGGAAGGAAAATCTCGACATCTCTTGTAGCAATATTTTTGCCAAAATATTTCTGTGGGCAAGGGAAACAAAGAATAAAAACAACAAATGGAACTACATCAAACTAAAAAGTTTTTCACAGGAAAAGAAATTATCAACAAAATGAAAAGGGAACCCACTGAATGGGAAGACATATTTGCCAATGACACATCTGATAAGGGGCTAATTATTCAACTTAACACTAGGAAAACAAACAACCCAATTAAAAAATGGGCAAATAACTTGAATAGACATTTTTCCAAAGAGGACATACAGATGGCCAATAGATATATGAAAAAATGCTCAATGTCACTAATCATCAGATAGATGCAAATTAAAACCACAGTGAGATATCACCTCATGCCTGTCAGAATGGCTAACATCAATAAATCAACAAAAAATAAATGCTGGCAAAAATGTGGCGAAATGGGAACCCTCGTGCACTGTTGGTAGAATTGCAGACTGGTGCTGCCACTGTGAAAACAGTATGGAGTTTCCTCAAAAATTAAAAATGGAACTGCCTTATAGCCCAGTGATCCCACTTTTGGGAATATATCTGAAGAAACCGGAAAAAGTACTTTGAAGAATGTATGCACTCTATGTTCATTGCAGCATTATTTACAATAGCCAAGATCTGGAACCATCCAATTTCCCATCAGTAGATCAGTGGATAAAAAAGCTGTCGGGCATGTATGTAATGAAATACTACATGGCCATAAAATGAGAAGAAAATCTTACTTTTTGGTACAGCATGGGTGGACCTGGAGAGTATTATGTTGAGTGAAATAAGCCAGTCAGAGAAAGACAAGTACAGTATGATTTCGTTTAAATGTGAAATTTAAGGAACAAAGTAAACTAACAAATAAAATAGAAACAGATTCATAGGTACATAGAGCAGACTGACAGCTGTCAGGGAAGAAAGGTTTGGGGGACTGGATGAAAGAAGGTGAAGGATATATATATATATATATATAATATAGAC